CAACGTACATTCAATCAATAAATTTTGTTTTTATTAAACGTATATATGATTTAGCTTTAGTTTAATGTAACACTCGATATATTTGAAGAATATAAAGAATTTGCTAATAGTAGACCAGGCCCAATTAGGCTAGGCCGAGCTGATTAGGCCAAGCCGTCACGGTAAAAGTGGCCGTCCTAAACAATTGTAGGCCGTCCAAAAGACGGCCGGATGGCTCGCTGGCTAAGCCTATGATCTTGGTACACTATTAGATAATAAGCTTAATTGGAACAGTAACACGTCTCATGTCTGTAATTAAGTGGGCCTAACAAAGAATTTATCAATTCATTCAATGTCAGCTCTATCACTTTCATCATGTTTTTTAATAGTGTTATCCTAAGTGTATTAATGACTTCTCAGTATGGTACTCCAGTCTTACACTCTGTAACAAACACAAGATTTATAACATAAGGAAAGCAGCAAAAAGAATTATCAAAGCTGACTTAGGGTACGTTCACACGTACTGCGTAAGACTGGCGTAATTATGCCGGCGTAAGCTAATCTACGGATTAAAATTCTAAGTGTTCACACAAATGGCTTTCGCTGTATTAACGCTGGTGTTAAACTAGTAGAAATATAGGCCTATGGGGGAGTAGTTTTCAGTTTTAAATAATGTGCGGGTTCTTAACTGTATAGTAAAATATTCACAGTGCATCATTAAAACTTTTAAATCTGTGAATTGTTCAAAGTGAACTTACAAGATTATTGTATTTTAAATGAACAATTTTACTTCTGATTTTTCAGCTAGCATTGTGGAACAATTGTTGGTGTTGCAGGTTTTAATAGGCAGTCTAAATAGGTTAAAATATCTTATATATATCTTAAAATATCACAATCAACAAATCATATACATTATAACTAAGTAAAATGCAATAGAAAAAGAACCCCTTTAACATTTCATTTATAGAGAGCACAGGAAAGAGATCAAAGTAACTAATCTATTGCAATCGTGATTGGTCAATCTCTTGAAATGAGGTCAAATCATTAAAGCATCACTGGCGTTAGCTCCGTGGCGTTAACTAATATGGGGTCTGCAGGTAGTGTTAATAACGCTACGGAGGTGGCGTTGTGAATGGTGCAGGTGACGCCACTGCCTAGTTCACACACAAAGGCGTACATTACGCCAGCCCCACACACAAAGGCGTACATTACGCCAGCCTTACGCCGTGTGTGTGAACATACCCTTAGATGGTATTGATGATAGCCAGACAGTCTTGCATGACTTAAATCAGTAATGATGCCTCACATCCTTTAAATTGTATTATTTAAAAATCTCAGGTAGACTCCGCTCTTTAGAATGTAAAACATCTAGATGTAGAAACAAATTTGTACACGACTCCATTTTTGTATTTAAAAACAACTTAAGTAGATAGTCATCATATATGCCTACAGTTTACATCAAACCCCCCATATTTTCTTGGTTTCACAATTATGTCACAATTACTGTAGCAATACCTGGTTATTCTGTATACAATATATTGGCAATAATTAGTCTTTCTTTTAAATGATCTCGTAAATGTATATATTATAATATTGTTTTTAATGTTGCATTGTTAAACTAATGCTATCATTTTTTATGTTATATCAATCCATTGTATTGTAATAGCACCTGGACACAAAGTTTAACTGTATCTCGTATTTTCCTTGATTCCTTGACTATAATAGCTCATTCAGTAACTTTCTTCTCCCCTAAGGGTCTCTTTGTGTCTGAGCTAACTGGTAGCAGTCCTGATACTCTATTCTGTCCACAGCACGGGCCAACATGAACCAGTATCACCGGAGTAACCCCCTACTTGTCTCGAAAGATGTACTGGGTTCTTTATAGTGCACCAATTGTGTACACTTGGCCTACAGTTTATAGTCCTTATCTGAGAAGACTTGTTCTGCCTACAGAAACTTAGACAAGCATGCCGTTCAAACCAGTGCCAATATTATGACTGTAGGTTGCGGCGCTATTCAAATGATGAAGGTATATTGACCAATGATCAAGAATCTCTGGAGAGATACAATATATTGCATAAACTATAAATCATTTTACACTTAAAGGCTAAATTAATAATCAAATTGTTAACTTTAAAGATAAGAATTGGAAAAAGTGAAATCACCACACAACAAGTGATAGTGTTTTATTCTTCATATTTAAGGTCATGAAGGCCAATAATATACGATGCTCTGTGATTGGTTTAGCAGCTGAGGTCAGAATCTGCAAAAAACTCTGTAACATAACAAATGGTGAGTCTGTGTATTATAATAAAGAAATTGAATTCTAGAAAAACAGTATTGCATATGCTTTTCTTAATTTATTATTAATCTAAATTGAAAGCTAATTTATTTTAATATATAAAAGTAAGATTAACAAAATTAATAATGTACTGTATTGTGCAAATAATTTATGATTAGGATGTTATTTATTTATTATTGGTAATTGAAATGATCATTAATTTTAAATTATATTTAAATCTGCAATTTTGTATTGCTTATCCAGGTAAAAGAAGTAAAAAAAATCTGAATCAATAAAAGGGGCTCTTACATTGCAGACATAAAAAATGGTCTAAATAATGGTTCAATGCTTGCATTATTGCAGTGTATTTTGCCAGTATATATATCCAAACTGGTGATTGATTGGTTTGATTGATTGATTGATTGATTGATTGATTGAATAATTAAGATCCATAGACTTTTTATAATATTATAGACATTGTTGCAGTACAAGATACAATATCTTTTTATTGTCACATTTGTTTTCCTAATTCAAAATGAATTATAAATAACAGCAGTTAAATATAAAAGGAACAATATGAAAAAAAGTTACTGCAAATGATAATATGACAAACAAGTGAATTATCACATTGGTATATGTCCAGAGACCTATGGAGTCATTGAGCTATTACATATGTTATATATTTCCAGGAACTTATGGAGTCATTCTTGATGAGATTCATTTTAAAGAATTATTGATGGAACATACCCTTCCCCCACCTGCTACGGTAAGCACATGAAACACTTGTAAACACCTATACTAATAAAAACCAGATCATCCAGTACAGTGTAATTAGTTTTAAATAAAACAAAAACACAGTAACTCCTAAAGAAACAGAGACAATTTGATCATTTTCAAGAATCATGCTGTCTTTTTGTGTTAAACTCTTGCAATTATAAAAAAAATTTAGATTAATTTAAAACATATTTTAGCAGTAAGTGTTTTTTTTTTTCATTCATTAAGTTTCAATATTGTTTTTTTTAAGGTTAATTCAGAATCTTCATTGATAAAAATGGGTGAGTAGTTTATCCAAAACCAGTCTGTGTTTGTAATGTCTGTATACAGTATCTATCATATTTCATAAATTTTTAATTTTATATATTCTTTTTTTTTAATTGTACAGGTTTTCCCAAGCATCAAATTCACACAGACAAGCCAGCAATTTGTGTATGGTATGTTGACCAATTTCTCTGTCTCTGCACAGGGCCGTATCCAGAAAATATAATTTTATATTTAATGCATTCTCAACTGTCTCAATATTGTTGTTGGTACACACGGTTTTGGTACACACCCATCATTTCCTCCCTGGATACTGGCCTGCTGTAGTCGTGTTGGTTCATGTGGCACAATGATGTTTTTGTTTGTATTTTTGAAGGGTATTGAGTTCAAATTCTAATGCTGGACTCTTCTTGAAGAATGAACACCTGGTGGATGTAATTTAATTTGAATAAATGAATAAATCAGTCAATAAATTTATCATTCAACTGAGCAAACAATCAAGCTATCACTCAATCGAACGGTTGATCTCAATTGATCATTAAATCAGTCAATTACAGTAATCAGTCAACCAATCAATCAATGGAAATTTAATTTAAAACATAATTTATTGTAATGAAATATTTTAAAGAAATCCGAAAATAAATATAACTAGAGCACCTCCGTCTACCTTATAAATTCCCCCTGTATAAAATTCCCACACATCTTTTCCTTTTGAAAAAGAAAAAAACAGAATCTCTACCTCCACAAGGATTCAAACCCTGGACCTGTCGCTTCCAAAGCGAATGTCAACCAACTAGACAACTAATACGTTGTAGTTATGTGCAATCTGGTAGCCATTGAAAGCTTTCAATCTTCGTTCCTTGGACAAGGAAAAACATTCTAGAAAGATTCATTGAGATTCATCGATCAATTAAGATATTTAGGTCTAGGACATTCTGTTTTAAGGGTCTCCACATGCACACCCTACACCGGAACGTCACCAAAATTGCATACTTTGTTCCTTGGTCATGACAAACCATTCCAGAAAGGTTTTTAGATGCATTTATCATTTTTTTAGACATCTACTAGGTTTGGGAAGTTGCTCTTAGGTCCCAGGTCCTCATATCCACATTCTACTCCAGATTGTCGCCAAAATTTAATCATGTCTTCCATGGACCATGACAAACCATACTAAAAAGTTCCATTCAGATCCATTGATGAGTTTTTGAGATACTATATTTAGGTCCAGGATATTTAGCACTTTAAATTTTAATACCAAAATCTAATGTCTACCTTGTAACTTGGTTAACACTTCCAGAAAGAATCATACAAATCAGTAGATCAGTTTTTGAGATATTTAGTGTGGAGTGTTTTCTTTAAATGGTCCCTATATCCACACCCCACTCTGGATCATCAGCAAAATATAAGGTAACCTTCCATTTAATCATTTGTGATTATTAGATGCATGTAGACCTAAAAAGTAGGCATGAGGCTGCTAAAGCTGGGCACTCACTCTATAAAGAACGCAACGCAGTGACATGCACGCAATGGGTCTTTTTTAATGACGATTCGTTCAGACTGCCATCAACAATCAGTAGACTGTCTCGCCATCTAACTCTCACAGGGAATGGAGTTTGTTGGCCAATTGTTGTACAACCATTGTATGATGCAATGAGTGCCCGGCTTGACAACCCTTATTCAGGGGACGTCCCTTAATATTTTGTCCCCTTAATAGGGGTTCTACTGTATTTTCATTGTTTATTTCATTACTGGATGCACTCTGCTCAGGTGATGTCTATCTATTTTTGCCTCCACTTCTGTATTTGACTGTACTCATATTGTTCTGTTGGTTTTTTTTTAGTCATCTTGATTCAAAAAGCTCTGAAGGATTCAGTTTAGGTGGCTATTTCTGCCCCCAATGTCATAGCAAGTACTGTGAGCTACCAGTTGAATGTAAATGTTGTGGTAAGTACTCACTTAAACCACAAAGCAGGTTACTTTAACTCTTAAGTGTCTGAAAAATGAGGCATGTTGTAGAAAAATGGTTAAGTTGTAGCAAAAGTTAAAATTCAAGTTATTGGTATTTTCAGATACCTGGGTATGTGATCTTTAAAATGAGTGGTCATTCATTTAAAGTGGACATTTCAAGCCTAAGTTATTGAAAAGTAAACGTACAGCACTCTTAGAGTCAAATAAGATAGTATAATACATACTCCAAGTATCGAAATGCATGCCATCGTGTGAGGATTCAATATTTCAACATTAATTATGTCCAATCCAATCAGAACATTTGTAAAGCGCCTTTCTTTGCAGGTACGAAGCGCTGCACCCCACATATTAATGATGATGTCATCATCAGGAATGAAAAATTATCCATATTTGCAAGCTTATATGCACAAGTATCAAAAGTGTTAGCATCCTTACCCTACTGATCAAAGTTACCTTTACAAAAACAAAGAAAGCTTCTTTGAAGCTTTGAGTCAAGATAAACATGATTTTGAGTACTGTAATTACCTTTTAAAGTTTTTTGTGCATACATTGTTTAATAGAATTAACTATCAAAATAATGTTAAATAAACGGTTTGTTGACCACTTCCAGAATTAATACTTTGGGACATGATTAATAAGACATTAAACTGTTGATCTATAGTAAAAACAAATTTGGAACTTTAGGCAATTTGTTTGAGCGCCCATATTTTATAGCTCATTTACTCAATAATGGCCTGTGCGACAACTTAACCATTTTGCCACGACATGCCTCAAATGTTTGTGATGGTTTTGATGATGAAAATATTGTAATTTAGTTACCCACCATACCAGTGCCATATGTATATGTGTAATGGTGTACTGTATTCCATATCTGTATTACTTGTCATTTTAAGTTACTACTTGACATAATTATTATAGTATTTATTCTACAAAGTTGATTACAATTAACTATAATTCTGGGTGTGTCACTGAAGGAAGTGTAATGTTAATGTTATGCTATTGATTTATTTGTGTAATACCTAAGGAAGTGTAATGTTAATGTTACTATACAATTGATTTATTTAGGAGATTATACTAGCTTGTTTGTGATTGGCTATGCTATGTCACTGTAAGAAAATTATTGATATTAGATGATTGGTTCATGAGATCATGGACCTATGATGAGATCATGTGAATATAGGACTGTTTTTGTATAATATGTGAGGGAAGTTTGAATTTAGTTAAGTTTGGTGCAGCTCTTCAAGACAGAAGTTTGTCTTACTTCCGGCCTAGGCGCCGTAATTGCCTGTATGTGTATGTGGATTGCTGAGAACTGAAATAAACTCAGACTTGGAAGTTAAAGTATTATTTGTGTTGGCTGAATTAATTGAAGACGTATCTTTCTACTGGTGTTGGTGACAAAGAGTGTGTGCTAATTGCGTTACATATCAATTAGTAACAAATTCATAAGAAGAAAAACCTATTGTATTAACAATACAAGAAGACAGAAGTATTAATGACACCAGTTACATAATAATATTATATTACATTATATGGTGGCAACTACATTATAATAAGAATAAGTTCCCAATTTCAAGTGTGCCTTATTCAAATCTGCACAAACCTAAATAAAAAACAGTTCTTAAGTTTCCCTTTAAAAAACCAAAAAAATTATTGTAATCTTCCTGTCACATATTTGTAAATACGCCTAGATAAATTGCAAGTTAAGTTTGTTTTCCATTTGTTTTTTGCATTCAATTTCAAATGTAACGGTCAACTCTGACCTTTATTAAAGGAATCTTTTGTAAGGCTTTTCAATAAATTAGTTTACGATAAACATGGGGGGGGGCGATACTGGTTTTGAGAAACTGTGCCTTAGGTAGCACATGCCTAGTAATAATGCATAGGATATTTCAAACTGCACACAATAACTTCCACAACGTTTTCATAGAGCAAACAAATTAAAAAAGCAGGTTTAACATGTGAACAGTGACATTGATAGAAATTTTCACAAAAAGCTGTTGCATGAATATTTCATTAATCTTAGAAATATGATGTAAAGACCATTCGTCAATTGTCATTTTTCTGCAAGTAGTACATCCACTTTAATTAGTATGGTGCTGATATCAATTGTTAGTGAGAATGACTAATGGTAATTAAATCCCCACTCATGAATAGGCCCATGTACCACAAATTACCACTAATATAGTTTGTTTTCAGCCATTATATTTCTATACTTGTTAGATCTCATCTATTTGACAACATAAAATGCACAATATCTTCATTTTTATTGCATAAAGGACAGTACTTGACTATACTCTAATATTATTTGTGAATGTTGGCAACAAAACTACATTGTACATTGTTTTATGTTAGTTTTTCATTTTCAGATTTTATTCTATTGCAGTTATTTAGAGATCATTTATGACTAGCTAAGACATAATAGCCCAATATTTAAGGTGGTGTTTGAATGTTTTTTTTGCTCTTTAAATCTATTTTTTAATGGTAGGCCTATTATATATCCTTGGTACGAACGAATGATTTTTGCATCGCATAATTTTTCGGTGACTTTCTCATAGTAGACAAAAACTTTATTCTGTACAAGTAAAATAATTTGAAGCATAAAATAAAGCTAATCAGATGTGATGTTTCATGTTTTGCAACCTCAGTAGATAATTTACTCTCATATATTGTTTGATAATGCAAATGGATTGCCAGTGTAGTCCCCAATCAGGTTGTGGATATGTTGTGATTTATTTACCTTGAATCAGTGTTAGTGTTGAGTTGATAAATAAAAGAATAGAATTGAAACACAGTATAGCTTGTGTATATACCATAATGACGTCTTTATAAACAACATGGTTAAAATAGTTTGTTCATCTATAATTGATGAAATCAATGAATTTAATTGTAAACAAATTTCAACATGTTGTGATTGGGTACAATATAGGACATAAACGTGTTTATAAGAGTTTTTACAAAGAACCCTTAATTTACTAATTCTTTTCATTAATTTCTGTGTTTCATGCCTTAAAATATGAAATTAGTTTTGTATTAAGTAGTCAGTGGCGTATCTAGTGGGTGCTTATGGAGGGGGGGGGGGCATCACCTTATTTTGCGAATTAGAACCCCTCAACTGAACATCGAGGGGGCCCCCCACTTCACCCTTGGCCTCCCCCCCCAATGAGCACCCCCATTTCGTGACTTTTAGATACACCACTGTAAGTAGTTTACCATTTTCGGTTTTCTTTTAAATTCTAATATTGAATTAAAGATTATTAAGCACTTTTCATTTTTTATTATTAATAAATATTATTATTCATTTTTTATAGGTTTGACATTGGTATCAGCACCTCACCTAGCCAGGTCTTTCCATCACCTATTCCCTCTGGATGAATTTACAGAAATAGCAATAGATACTGTTAAGGAGTCTTACAGTTCGTAAGTTGCATTTGTTGGGTTTTGCATGATGATGAACCACAAAGATGACTTCTCAAATTATTAGCTTCCCCGAAGGAGCGAAGCTATTGTTTTAAGCCATGTTCTTCTTCATGCTGTCGTCGTTGTTGTTGTCATTGTTTGGTAAATTGTTAAACGATAACTAAAGTTTGGTAAGTCCAATTGATTTAAAACTTGGCAGAATTCAAGGTCGCAAAAAGAAGATGGAGCCTATTGTCTTTGGTATGTGTGTTTTTACTTGGTAGAAATTGCAATATGGCATAACTTTACATTTTCAAAAACAGTGATTCGATTTGCAGTTGAAATGAAACTTTCCTTCATATTTTTAATAAAATCAGAGCCTATCTACGGCTCTGTCACTACTACTGTAATAGCGCCCCTACATTATATTTTTTGGATTACTTGATGGCTAGAGCCTAGGCCTAGCTACAGGCTTGGTAAGTTGTATATACTGTATGTAAGTACTGTAGCGTGCTATGCCTCCTCCTACTAATTCATAAGATTTCTTCCTTGGTAGGTGAGAGCTAAGTATATTGAGCTAAGTATATTGTTGAAAAACCAGTTACCTGTACCTCTCAATTGTTACTTTTGTAACAATCCGATGTCTAAGATGTATATACGATGTATTTCAGTCATAATAATTACAGAAGTCTTGGCTATTTTATTGAATTGGAATGTTTACAGCCCTAGAATGCTAGGCCAACAGAGTCAGCCAAGCATGTTTCAGAGCCATTGTTTTACTGGCTATAGTGAGGCTCCTGCCCTGCAAGGTTTTTGTAAACACTTGCATCCTGTAAGGCCCGGAGGACAGCTTAGGAAATTTGGTAAATCAAGGATTCCGTATACAAGCAATCACTCTTCAACATTCCAGCTACTTCTTTCAGGAGACATTCACATAAACCCTGGGCCAGATAGGCATAGGCCTACGTCTGTTCCAATTATTCCGTCACAAAATGGTGAAAGAAATAGTACGAATGAAAGAAATGAGCTCTCTGGAATATTTTTTAATGCACGAAGTATTAATAGCAAGTCCCATGCACTAGAGATGTTCCTCAACAGTCAGCAGTTTGACTTTATTTCCATTATTGAAACGTGGTTGACTTTGGATACTGAAAGTAAATTCAGTTCATGATTATGGTACCAGGTCCTCTGATATGTACCGTCCACATACTTTTGTTACCGATATGGCCAGAAATACTATCCGAAGGCATGGTCCAATTTTATGGAATAATATTGATGTTTCTATTTGTAATTCAGTCAAAATGTTGAAAGTGATGTATAAAAACTATTTGTTGTTAACCTGTCTCTTATACACATCTAGATGTGTATAAGAGACAGCACCAGAATAACACCTACTACAGTCTCTGTGATTGATAGTATTTTTACCAATGTTTTTTCCCATAATATCAAATCAGGTATTGTTGTCGCCGATATCTCTGATCTTTATTCAATTTACCAAATCACCAAATCCAATCCCATTAGTAATATCAGTACCTCGAATAAGATCCCTACCCATTTATTAAACCAAACTAGAGTTCATAATTTTTATAATGGTCTAAGCACTATTGATTGGACCTGTATTACTGGATTAGAATCTCCTGATCTTGCGTATAACTTATTCATTCATAAATTCACAGAGGTTTACAATATGCACTTTCCTTTTTCTTTTAAGCAATCCAAGAATTCTCATCATCATATTCCTCAAAAGCCTAGGATTACCGCAGCGATTTTAAAGTCTATAAATCGGAAAGGAAAGCTGTATAAAAAGTATGTAAACAACCCTACTGAATGTGACAAAACTTCCTATGTTAATTACGAAATCAGCTTACTTCTTTAATCAGAAATTCTAAACGGCAATACTGTGCCAGAAAGCTAGAGGAAACAAAATTTAATTCAAAACAAACTTGGAATATTCTTAACAGCATTATTGGTCGACGAAATAAGGCTAAACCAATCTCATCTTTTTATAAAATAAATCATATACATATTTCTGATCCTCAAATTATTGCTGATAATTTTAATAAATATTTTGCTAACATTGGTCCTGAATACTCGCGTAAAATTCATCAGCTTGATATTACTTTCAAAAGTTTCATTAATAAAGTTAAATCTCCACTTAGATCTCTCTATTTTTTACCAACTGATACAGATGAAATACTCTCAATAGTTAGAAATTTGAAATCTGGTGTTAGTAGTGGCTTTGATGATATTAAGCCTGATCTTGTCAGATCAGTTGGTGAACTAATAGCACCTCCACTTGTTCACATTTTATCCTTAACTACTGGAATTGTTCCAGAGAAACTGAAAATTGCCAAGATAACTCCTGTTTACCTAAGTGGGGAGACTGATACCTTTGGTAATTATAGACCCATCTCGGTCCATTCCGTTTTCTCCAAAATTTTAGAACGCATTATTCATAAAAGACTCTATAACTATCTTTCTCGGCATAATCTATTGCATAATAACCAATTTGGCTTTCGCCCAAATATGTCTACTGAAATGGCTATTTTACAGGCATATGATAACATTATTTTCGAACTTGATAAGAGGAAACATGTCCTTGGAATTTTCTTGGACCTCTCAAAGGCATTTGATACCATAATCACAAGATTCTACTGTGTGAACTGCATCATTATGGTATTCGTGGTATCGCCTTTGAGTGGTTCAACAGTTATCTTAGAGATAGAATGCAATATGATTCTTTTAACTACCAAAAGTCATCTTATTCAAATACTTGTTGTGGTGTCCCCCAAGGCTAAATTCAAGATTCAAGATTCAAGAAATTTTATTTGTCTTCATAATACATACAAAGAAATTTTGGCTGTACAGCATTTCAAAAATTACAATAATTAAAAACAAACGTATATGAACACACAGTAACAATAAAAAATACAACAAGGCAACATACCAAAAAACTGGTCTAAAACAATAAATTTTTAAAAAGTTAAAAAGTTAAAAAATTTTAAAATTGATTAAAAAGTAAAACTTCGATTTATCTTTTAACACCGACATTAAAAATATGGATGGAATTTGGGACAAATGAGTTTCTGTAGCGACAACGCAGTGTACGAGGAGGGCAAAGTCTTATACCTGATCACTTTAAATTCTTTTAGTTTTCTTAAAAAGTATAGCCTCTTGGATGCTTTGCTAGCTAGAATTTTTGAATTTGTATTCCACTTTAGCTGATCGTTAACAATAGTTCCTAAATATTTGTGCTCAGATACTTTTTCTACTATTTCATCTTTAACTATTACAGGTTCATGATGAATAACAGATTTGCGAAAGTCAAAAATTATTTCCTTTGTCTTGCTTGCATTTAAAAATAAATTTTGCTTGTCACACCATTTAACAAATCTATTTATCTCTGTAATGTAATCTTGGGCATTGTCATAATTATTTACATAAATGACTTAGCCTACATATGTAAGTACTCAAATATTATTCTATTCGCCGACGACACAAACTTATTAATTTCTGATGATAATTTAAAATCTCTAGTTGATAATGTCAATTACGATCTTTTGATTAATAAAACCAACTATATGTTTTTTAGAAATAGATATAGTAACCGTACTTACAAGGACCTTAATATTACTATTGATGGTAATAATATTTTGCGTGTCACTAGCTGCAAATTTCTTGGTTTAATAATGGATGAATGTTTAACTTGGAATCAACATACAACTTATATTGCAAATTTTGTTTCAAAATAATCTGGTATTCTCTTCAGACTAAAGCCAATCTTACATGTTAATGTCTTATGATCTTTATATAGATAAGACCTTAGTTCTTCCTCATATCCAATATTGTACTTTGATTTGGGCTGATCATAATAATTGCTGTCTTGAAACTGTTTATCGCAAGCAAAAACGCATAATGCGTCTATGTACAAATTCACAATTCCATGAACATTCACCACCATTATTTTCCAGTCGTAAAAATTTACTGTGTATGACATTCATAAAGGTATTTTTATGTATAAATTTAAAAATAATTTATTACCAGTTAATTTTTCAAATTATTTTGTTAGAGTAAATTCAGTTCATGATTATGGTACCAGGTCCTCTGATATGTACCGTCCACATACTTTTGTTACCGATATGGCCAGAAATACTATCCGAAGGCATGGTCCAATTTTATGGAATAATATTGATGTTTCTATTTGTAATTCAGTCAAAATGTTGAAAGTGATGTATAAAAACTATTTGTTGTTAACATATCAATAAGGATCCTTTATATATTTACATTCATGCATACTTTTATTTAGTTCATATCCTGCCAAAATGTTTTTGTCACTGTTGTCTTGTATCACGTTATGTTTGTCCGTGAAATTGTCAATAATTTTGTTTAGGTGGCTAATGGTATACGAGCTCTGCTCTTTTGTTGGTCATCCTTCCTTTGATCAATATATGAAAATGTTAAGTTTTTGGAAAATAAACTGAAACTGAAACTGAAACCTTAGAGGTTATTTTCAGGCATCTAGAACACAAAAATTTAGGGGGTGGGGGCATGACACCGGACCCCCTAGGGTAGTGTTATCTCGATCGGCCCCACTTTCAGTCCCCATTTCGGCCCCCACCTTTTGGACATTCCTGGATCTGCCCCTGGTCCTCTGTTCAGTTTTATATTATTTTCAAATACAGCATTCTTATACAAAGAGCCATGAAATAAAGAAAATGTATATTATCATCTATAGCACCAAAGGGAATATAGAAATATAACAACATATGTAATATATTATTGGATGCACTGTTGTGAAATTACCTTGTGATTTGTAGTGTAGACTGCTGTAATTGAATTGAATTGAATTGCTCTTTTTCTCTACAGTTGCTGCAAATCTTGTCAAGGGAGCTTAGAGGGTCAAGCTGCATACATATGTCCAAGATGTGCTAAAGTGTTCTGTCTTGACTGTGAGGTGTTCATTCAGGAAGCTCTACATTCGTGTCCTGGATGTGCAAGTACTAGGCGAAAACAGAAACTAAACCAGTTGATTTGATAGGAAAATCAAACTAAACCAGTTGGTGGGATAGGAAAATCAAACTAAACCAGTTGATGGGATAGGGAAATCAAACTAAACCAGTTGATGGGATAGGGGAGTCAAACTAAACCACTTGATGGGATGGGGAAATTAAACTAAACCAGTTGATGGGGGTTGTGATATCATGCTAGGGCCCCTTGGAAGAGCAGTGGTATTACGAAGAGGGCTACCCTACTAAAAGAAAACGAAATAAATAAATAAATAAACCTGCTTGATGAGATTGAACAATAATGCTTAACTGGTTGATGTGATTAGACATTAATGGTAAACTGAATGATGGGATAGGACAATAATGGTAGTAAACTGATTGATGAGGTAGAATAATTATATGCTAAGCCAGTTGATGGGATAGGACAATTGTTGGATCATATGCTAAACTGGTTGATGGGATAGGACAATCATTCTAAACCAGTTGATGGGTAGAACAATTTAATGGTAAACTGATTGATGGGAGAAAACAGTAATGCTGAACTGGTTGATGGGTAGGACAATCATGCTAAACTGGTCTATGGGAGGACAATCATATGCTAAACCAGTTGATGGGTAGAACAATTTAATGGTAAACTGATTGATGGGAGAAAACTGTAATGCTGAACTGGTTGATGGGTAGGACAATCATGCTAAACTGGTTGATGGGATGGGACAGTAATGCTAAACTGGTTGATGGGTAGGATAGTCATACTAAACTTGTTGATGGGATGGGAAAATCATTCCTGATGATGACATAATTAATATCGAAATATTGAATCCCAACACGATGGCGTGTATTTCAATACTTGGAGTATGTATAATACTTTCTTGGATGGGAAAATCATATGTTAAACCAGTTGATGGGATAGGACAATCATATACCTGTACTGTACTAGGAAAATCACACTAAACTGGTTGATAGGTAGGACCAAATTTATTTATTCATTTATTTACAATCTTTCACCAGGGTGGCCCAATCAGTCAAGTAGACTGGTCTCCCTTGGGGTCCTGGGTACAAAAGTTTTCAGAATCTGAATAATGCTAAAGCAGTTGATGGGATATGCCAGTGCTTTGTCTTTATCAATAACACATATCAGGGCAAATCAGAAGCTAAACCAATTGATGGGAATAGGCCAATGATATGTCTTCATCATGCACAATGTCATCACCATCAACACCATTGTTATCAAATCTATCATTATTCTCATCATTATTATCGTCAATATTATTAAGAGAAAGTATGAAAAATAATTAAATAAATGTAAATATTTGATGAGTTCTACTATTGTCAGTGTACTGTATTATTGTTACCGTTTAGGTGATAGAATTCTAATTGGAATTCATATTTCATTTGTACAACCAGACACAAAAGAGCAGAAATGGGAATACTGTAAATCAAATATGGTTCTTTTATTTATTATGTCAAAGTCTGTCTTAGAGCTCACACACAAATTGTAATGCTGTTTGATTTTTGTGCTCTTAGATTTCTATTAACTCATCATACTGATGTGTTATGTTCTGAATTCTGTTTAATCATGTTGGTGTACTGTATTGTTCTATACTTGTATAAGTTCCCAATAAAGTCGATCATACGCCACTGCCAACCCACAATGAATGAGTCTGCATGGAGTGAAGCTGTAGCTTGGTGGTTAAGATACTTCAATGCCATGGTCATAGGTTCACATCTTATGATAGCCTTTTCATTTAAATACAATTCAAAAATAGTACTCAGAAGAAAATAATGTTGACACATCGTTGCAACAATATTAAACGTTATTTATATTCATATATGGCTCCACAAAATAAAAAATAAAAAAACACTAACTTTATTATAATGCAAAATTGTTAGCTTGGCATACATAGGCTTCTGTTTACCTTTACTGTAATTGTGATGATACTTTTATACATGTGATGACCTTTATCAGTTCATTTGAATGCACAGTAAATTAAAATTTTGATACTATTTGAGATATGAAAATGATAATATCTATTTATGTATAATTAATAAGGATGAAATTTAAATCTTCAGCTCCTGAGAAAGTCACTGTAGGAATGCACTCTTGTCGTCAGGCTATGATTGCTCCAAGTATTGTTCAAAATCTGCTTTGTATTTTTTCTTATGCAGCAGAAACCTTAAAATAGCCATGCCATTTTCAAGTAATTCGTCCTTTAAAAAAGAATAATAGAATATGTGTTAATACGTATAGGCTTACAATTACTACCTATTCAGGCTGCAACATGAATCTATTTGATTGCCTTTTATTGATTGATGGATTGATTGACTTTATTTCAAAACAGATCACTTTATATGTCTGTATATGTGTGTGTGTG